GGCAGAGCAAGGGAGGAAAAAAGAGTAAAATTATTCCCTTCCCTTCTCTTCCTGTGGGTATAGCTGGGAATGATAAATAGCTATCATTAGCATATTTTAATAATAATCTAACAGCAGTAACATCGCATCACTTACTGACCTAGGATGTGCGACGCTATGTGGGGGCGTTAACTCGTTTAGTCTTTGTGACCTTGGGTGGCTCAAAGCCTACCATTATCCTCATTTTGGAGATGGCGAAACTGACGCTCGGAAGCTAGTGACTCCTGAGCAAATGGCAGAGCATACACAGCTGCTAAAATCTGAATCCAGAAGGTCTGATTCCGGAGCTCTAGCTTTTGCTACTACATTATAATGTCTGATTTTGTCGTCACCATTGTTTCTGCAGAGACATTTTCACCGCTGAAGTAAGAACATCAAAAGATTCGGAGAAGGAAGAGCCTCTGAAGGTTTGACAGAAGCAGATGTGCACAGTGGGTGATCACGGCGTCTGTTCCACATTTATGTCTATTACAGGTTCTAGAATTCAAGAAGACATCTTTCTTCTTTTTAAAACGAAGGATGGGGCGCCTGGGTGGCGCCGTCGGTTAAGCGTCCGACTTCAGCCAGGTCACGATCTCGCGGTCCGGGAGTTCGAGCCCTGCGTCGGGCTCTGGGCTGATGGCTCGGAGCCTGGAGCCTGTTTCCGATGCTGTGTCTCCCTCTCTCTCTGCCCCTCCCCCGTTCATGCTCTGTCTCTCTCTGTCCCAAAAATAAATAAAAACGTTGAAAAAAAAAAAACAAAAACATCACTAATATCAGTTTGTCGATCAACTACCCTGCAGTTGTTGCATTTTATAAGAGTGTACTGGAAAGCTTCAGGGTCTTCACGTAGAGGCGCTAACTCTCCTGTCTTACAAATGCCACTTCCTCCAAGATGTCTTGCTCTCCCAAGCACCAACCACAGGCTGCTCCATACTTTGATTATTGGATTATTTATTCGTTTCCATGACTGTCCTTCCCAGTAAACAGAGTCCCTAGAGGCAATGGCTATTTTACTTCACGCTGTGTATGTCCCAGCAGACAACCCGCTGCATAAATATGGAATAAATGATATAGACAGAAAACAATCCAAGAAGACAGAGATTACATCTTCCATGTCTGCGTCCATTTTCTCCACTTTTGGAGGCTCTGGATTGTTGCATACAAAGATTAAATATCTACTATCCAGAGCAACCACATCAGCATGGCCAGGTTCCAAAATCCGATTTGTGCAAATCTATTCTGAAAAGCCAGCAGCCCTCTGACAAGAGGAAAAGTAGAGGAAATCAGGAACGTGACCACAGAGCAACAGAACTAATTTTCATTTGTGACTGTAAAATCATTCTCCTTGTTTTACAGTCATGCCTGGTAAATTAAGAGGATTACCAAGGTATCTTCCAGCAGAGCTTCCTGCTTTAATGAGTAAATCATCTATAAAAAAGCAGGGTTCTTTTGCTGAAAGTACTTATAAATGGAATGTGGTCTTCTGGAAGATAAACAGGCAGCACTGAACAAATGAGAAGGCCCATTCTTCAAAAAAAAAAAATGGTCAGAAAATGTGGTTTCTGCCAGATAACAGAAAGGAAAGCAGTATGGATGGCTTCCCAAAGGTAATAGCTGTGAACGGACACGTCTGATATTCAACTCATTAAAATCAGTTACGCTAAAAGTATTTATGAAATAGACTTAATAGCTTTAGAGCAGAATTCTCATGCACATAAGACAGTTTCTTCAAGCTTCTGACCTCATCACTGAACAAATAGCTGAGTTCTGTTTTGTGGCAAAATTACGTTCTCCTCTACAAACACTGGCAGTCAACTATTTAGCAATTCTCCTGCCGGAAATATCCTCCTGCATCTAAATTCACCTAAATTGATGTAAATAATAAAAATGAAGAAATGCTAAGAAGGCTCTGAAGAGCGTCACTATGCAAAATAACACAAACCTAATCCGTGTGTCAAATAAGAAAACTCCTAACTTAGTTCTACCGGGAAATGGCGTTCAAAAACTCAAATTTAATTCTTTACACTCAACCTAAGAGTTTACATTCTTACAATCTATACCTGGGAAAATTTTTAAAAATATTATTATGAAATGAAAGTGTAATGTGGTATATTTTTTATCTTGTTATTTACCTGATCAACATCATTGCTGAACTAAGGATTGGTAGGTTCAAGATATCCACTTTATACACTTGGTACAGTACTGAGCACATACGTACGTGACATGAATCCATGTGAAGGTGCTATCGCTTACCCTTTTTGCTCTATGAGAGTGACAGAATTTTCTTGCATACGTCATTCTCGGGAGAGAGTGGAGAGTTCTATCATCACAACAGAACTGGGCTCTGCCTTCTCCTCCTCTGAACTATGAATGGTGTGGGTACTGCTCGAAAGATTCACTACTGTCTCCTGAGCCATGGTTCACGGTGATTCACCACACGCTAGGACCACAGTACGTGTAATTACAGTCAGAGTGTTGAGGCCACACTCCTCAAAGTCTGGCTTCACTGAATATGTGTAAAAAATGAAAAATCACAGCGAAGAATATGTTCCACACACGATAACTAGTATTACCAGGCAGGGAGGAGGCAGTGGATGGTAGGGCAACAGGGATCACCTGCACGGCCAGGCCACACTGAACAGTCAAGACAGTCTGGGTATTCAGATGCTCCTACGGTATTTTTGGGGGGAAGTGCAAAATGACACAAGATTGTCATGTCGCTTCAGAGGTTAAAAACATGTGCCTCTTTTCTAATATATGTGGTTGTGCCTCGGGGCCTATTAGGGATTTATCATTTACGGGCATATCTAACGTTTTTATAAACTGGGCTCCAACTCAAATTAATTCCTGAGGTTATGGCGTTCATTAGCCTATAAACATCTGTGTAGAAGAGTAAAATGTAATTATCCAGGAGAAGAAGAAAATTAGACTGAACTACACTTGACTGTCTCTCCTGGGATACATATTGTGTGTGTGTGTGTGTGTGTGTGTGTGTGTGTGTGTGTACCATCTCTAATTTTCTGGTTAGTTGTGCTTCCTCAAACATTTTTGACGGAGCTTTCTAGAGGTTTTCTATTGTCAGCTTGGCATTCAATTGTTTAGCATAAAGTGGGTTTCAGGGTCTATGAACAATTTTCAGTATTTCAAACATCCTAAGTAAACTCCTATATTTCCTAAAATATCTCACTGGTAACTTAAGGTCCCCAACTTGAAATTCTCAGACCTCCAGGAGGCCACACATTTGTAATGTAAATGTTAACGAAAACAACAATTTGTCCACGGTCTTTGAAAAAATATATTTAAGAAACTACAAGTCAGAAAATCAAATTCTAGGAATTTTGTCCTTTATAGTGCCTCATTCAAAAAGGGGTTGAGACATGCGCAGCTCAGTAAATAAACACACCAGACCATGAGCTCTTCCTGGCAGGGAGCTCTACCCCCTGACCTGTTTATACGTCCCAACGCCCCCAGTAAAATAGAACACCGGTAATAAATCTTCACTAGCTCTACGAACAGTTATATTTTGTCGCAAAAATCAAAGTTCTTGAAAAAAGAAAACTAAGACCGCGTTAACTGGCAGAATTCAGAAAAGCAAGTTTCCCCGGGCCCTTAATTTGTATTCCTGTAACCTAAAATCTCACTATGAATCAGCAGTCAAATCAGAAGCCGTATAACTATGGTGTCTCCAACCAGTGTTAACGGAAGCATAGCGCAAGTTCAGTGAAACACATTATGGTTCCAAAGTTGTCTTGTCTAATGTTTAGGTAAATACCATTTTTTCCTGCCTGTCAAAGCCAGAAATCCCAACTACGGCACAAATGGACAAACATCGGAGACAGCGCTGGCTCAGTCTACTTTGATGGAAGGGGATTTCTAGTCCCCTGATGGCAACAGGAACTGTTTACTGCACTCTACAGGGAGTTCCTAACATACTGTACTGGTTTCTGGTATCAGGGACGCCTCCATGCAGCAGGGAGGTGAAAATGAATCTGCCTCCCAAATAGGGTTTCTACCCACACAGTCCTGGAATGCAGCAACTCAGTCACCAGAATACATTTTTTTTTCCAGTTTATGTTGTAATACATCAGTTCTTAAATGCGTATTTCAAAGGCACAACAGAGTACGCTTTCGTTCGGTTCACGCCACATTCACGCAACGTGTTTAACGAACAACCTTGCACCAACGTGTCCTCATCACCCTGACACTTACCTGTATGACATGAATGGGTGTGAAATATTCAAACCGTGTTATCTAATATGATTATATTAAACACAGTCCCTATAACCTGACTAGGTGCTTGCAAATCCAGAATCACAGAATTACTACATCATTTATGTGATTTTTAAAGTCTTAAAGCACTGGTAAAGATCTTTAATCAGATAGATGATAAATAGAGGATAAATAGATTTGACTCATTTATTTCCTTCCTTAGTTCCGAACAGTGCTCACTCACTTAATCACGCACCCTAGCTTCAATAATAAAAATGTAAATTTAAATATACATAAAGGAAATGAGACATATATACGTGTTATATTATGTATATATCTATATATAACATATATACGTATATACGTATATGCGTATATACGTATATATGTGTGTGTGTGTGTGTACATGTGTTAGGGCACATGGCTAAGTTGGTGAGCCCCGTTCAGAACTAAGGAAGCAGAGGCCAGAGAGTATCAGCTGGATAGAAAGCACTTTATGGCTCCTCGTTATGTTAACGTGTTTACCTCTCATTTCCTAGGAAGACGATTTTCTAAAGAAGTGGATTGATGATTTCACTGCTAGTCTACATCATATACAGCTCACGGTAACTGCTGCCTACTCGGACGGACTGACACGAAAGCATATGGTCGCGATTCGGGAACGATCATACTTAACGAGGAGAGAGCAGAGCAGAGAGAGGTCTTAATCGAGGAGCACAGATACAGGAGGGAGAGGGGCTCTCAAGAGCACATAAAGAAGAGTCACCTACCAGCTCCACTCGTCCGAAGCCCCCGACTCCAAGGGTGTCGATGATGTTGAAGTCAGACAGCTTCAGGTTGGCGAAGAAAGCGGCTTCGGCTTCGTATCTGGATTTTTTGATGCGAAAAAACGGAAATTTCTTAGAGGTGCAAACACGAGAACCACACACGACCGCCCCGGGTTGACAGGCCTGTGGCACAGGGTTTACCTGCTCAGATTCCATCTTTGCTTTTAGAGTCTCTGTGTCCTCACCATCATAATGTTTTGGTCCCAGTGGTGCAGAGTAACCAAGATTTGCACTTGTGGGTCAGAGGAGAATGGGACCAGGTACCTGGTGCCTGCCAGTCATGTGACCGATAAATCCGATTACCAGACCAAAGTCACATCGCAGTGCTTTCCTGCGCGGCTTCCTGTGAGCACGGATGGCTGGGGCGGTTCTTTTTTGGTTTTGCTTGGGGATTTTTGGTTTTGCTGGGTTTGGTTTTGGCCGTCCCGCTGGGGGACGGCAGTTTCTCATTAGTCGCCCTTATCCACAGGCTGCCAGCGGCTCCCGTTAGTATCCACTGAAAGCGGCAAGATCACCGAGGTCCCTGGAGCGACATCACAGCCGGGGTTTATGAAAACAGATCCGAAAAGCTGAGGACGGGGGTGCGAATGTCCGAAACGGAGGGTTTCGGAAGCCCATTCACATTCCTAAAAAGTGTCCTCCTCCGTTTATGTGTACCCACGGCTCCTGAGCCGGGAGTCCCAGGGCCTTTATCTTTAGGAGAAGCGAGGGGTGTGCTCCCAAAGTCTAACTGTGCCCCGTGCTGATCTGACCCATGCGAGCGGCCAGGATAGGCTTCCCCTGACGAGACGCTCAAAATATCTTCTTGTCAAAGGCCCTACTATTTTTAGAAAGGGCAGGAAGGCGTAACAGTCATGTCACTAATGTCTCACTGATGTCAGGTCAGGGAGTGATACAGCTGTCTCAGTAATCAAGTATTTGCACAGCTATGCGTAACCCGTGACCTTCGGCCAGGCGGTCCCTGGCTCGGTCCACGCTATAGATAGACATGATGATATACCTTTGAGACGGGGACACGGGCACTGCTCGTTTCTGTCAGGTTTTGGACACAGCCACCCGAAGGCGTGTTTGGCATTAAGCCGTGTAACGCTTTAGCTCCTCCCTTGTAATCGAACACACATTAGACTCTCCACTTGGGAGGAAGGTGAGGTTTCTAGGTGACATTTTAACGTTCTCCAACCTACCACCACAGTCCCAGATTCGAACAATTCTTGACAGACTCTCGAGACAACCTGGTTTTCACGACTGGCTGGTTACATGAACTCAGCTCCCTCTAATAAACCCCTATAGACGAGGCAGCTGGCCAATCCTGAGGGCATCTGTAGACTTCTCTCATTATCGACACAACCAGGAGATTAGCTTCACAGTTCAGGAGGTGGTTTACTAGAATGGACATAAGCAGCAAATGGGCATTTCTAGCATTCCAACGGGCCCACTACTTCTGGAAAATTAAAACTCCATCCCATTTAAAGGGCAGAGTTCACTTCAACAGGTGCTTTCCAAGGACATCTGTTGGGATCAGACCCTGTGACAGTTTCTATGTGGTCAAGCATTTCCTGGCGGGCCAGATAGTCAGATTCTTAAGGAGGCTGTTTTTGAATAATATCCTATGTGCCTGCTGGATTGAGAAACTCAGATATGAAGAGGGTAAACTCAGGCTATTTTGATAACATTTTATATATTTACAGTGTGGTGTTCTCACAGCTCCTGAAGATACTTTTGGACTCTTACATTCGGGCTCCGTTAAGTTAGGCTGGTGACACATCTACGCATGTGAACTTCAGCCCTTTGTTGGAACCTCCTGGGCATCCGTCAGGAACCATTTCATCTGAGTCCCACCACACACCGAGTGATTCTGAAATCTTTGCAAACAGGACCCAAATATCTGTATTTTTTTCAAGCTCCCTCAGCGATTCTGATTCACAGCAAGGGTAGAGGGTTATAGGTCCAACCGAGAAGCCTCAGGAACTGCAGAAACCATAGAAACATTTTGGGGTGGGTTAAAATGGTCCTGGGACATCAGTGGCTGCCTGATGAGTCTCAGGGGGATGTGTTCATGCCAAGAGTGTTGGGGCCTCTCACAACGTGGTCTGGCCTCCTGCCCTTGGACCCTAGACCCTTTGAAATGACCACTAGTTCTGTAATGGCTAACACAGCTTGAAAAAAAAAAAAAAGGCAATGTTGCTAAAACACACACACACACACACACACACACACACACACACACACGGAGAATGCAGAAGTCATAGGTGGCTATTTTGTGTTGAAATTTCTACAGCAAAATCCTCTTGACTTTATGCTTACTATTTGATTAATTACGGATGGTATTTTCATTAAGGGGATGGACGTATTACATCTCATGTTAAATAGCAGATATTTTCTCTGTAGCCATCACAATCCACTTAAACATACACTGTTCCACACACTGTAAGCACAACTACCATTACATAAAATATTTCATGTTTTAATGAAAAGAGATTGGCAACACTGTCACTGTCATCATACTTTGTTCATCTTTGCTAATTACTTTGCCAATATTGATTGGTGACTTGTTAAAATACTACCTAGTAGGGTGATTTTTATCTGGTGGTTGGTGAGATACATTTTGAGGGGCCTTTGGATAATATGCTCCTGATGTTCTATTCCATTCTATTCACGCCAGGTTCTGATTCTCAGGGAGGCCAAACAAAGTGGGAATGCCATCACAGTGTTTTTTTTTTTTTCTTTCCCACCAAGGGAATATTAGTTGCTTAATATTCTATATCTATTTATTTTTCATTCAGATTACTCTTTATGGACAAGAGTTACACCTGCATCACAGAGACCCTGTCTACTTTTCTTTTTTGAATAACTTTCTGGATTAATAACTTCTTTTTTAATGCGGAAATCACCACTAGAAGGAACCCGTATAAGAAAGTTAAACTACAGGGGCGCCTGGGTGGCTCAGTCGGTCGAGCGTCCGACTTCAGCTCAGGTCACGATCTCGAGGTTTGTGAGTTCGAGCCCCGCGTCGGGCTCTGGGCTGATGGCTCAGAGCCTGGAGCCTGCTTCCGATTCTGTGTCTCCCTCTCTCTCTGCCCCTCCCCCGTTCATGCTCTGTCTCTCTCTGTCCCAAAAATAAATAAACATTAAAAAAAAATTAAAAAAAAAAAAGAAAGTTAAACTACAGATGACTTAGTTTCTTCAGGCAACTCCTCTTGCTCATAACTTGGAGAGACATTTTCATTCTTTCTTTTTACTCAGATTATCTGAAGATAATTTGAATCCATCAACTCTGTTCTGCTTGTTAACGAATTGGTAAAAGTTTTAGTGGGAAAGGAAACTAAATTGGTTAAATCAATGGTTGTTGTTCTATTAACTAAACTTCTTTTGCCTGAAGGAAGTCGGCGTAGAACCCAAGTTCTTAATGGGATACAGGTCCAAGGAACAAGGCCAAGCTTTGTGCAATTCATTTTTTTTGAACATTAAAAAAAAATTTTTTTTTAAATCTTTATTTCTGAGACAGAGAGAGAGACAGAGCAGGAGTGGGGAAGGGGCAGAGAGAGAGGGAGACACAGAATCTGAAGCAGGCTCCAGGCTCCGAGCTGTCAGCACAGAGCCTGACGTGGGGCTCGAACTCACAAACTGTGAGATCGTGACCTGAGCTGAAGTCAGTCGCTCAACCGACTGAGCCACCCAGGCACCCCTGTGCAATTCTAAAATTCATCTGTGCCGTAGTGCTTATGAAAGGGACAACGGCCAGATGCTAGGGGGAAATTCATATCAGTAAGACACAAAGTTCTCCACGTTTAGTTGCTTAAAATCTACAAAGGTATACGAAGTCTCTTTTCTACTGGTTCTCAACTCAGGTTGAGAAACTAATTTTTCAAAAGGAGATTGTTAGCATTATTTTAGTATGGGGTGAAATCTATGGGTTCTCTTCTCAGAAAAGTGCAAATAGCGACATGTCTTTTTTGCATGTGTCAGGGAGCTTACAAAACCCTACAACACAAAAAAATAACTATACAATGAATTGTATATACAATAAGTTGTGTTGGGTGAAGGAGACAGAGATAACATATCATTTCTCAAACAGTCCTGACCATGTTCTTTAGCTGGGGCTCTGGGTGATTAGAATTCACAACTGCTAATCGGTACAGGGTACTCTTTAAATGGTGAAATACTAAACTTTTTCTTAAAAAAAAAAAAAAAAGAACTGATAACGAGGGACACAGTTGTCTACATGTTCACCTCTTCTTTTCATTTCTACCTATACACCAAGAAGTTCCAAAAACAATGAAAATGTAAAGCAGCAGGTGTAAAAATGATGAGACCAAGGCACAGAAGCACAGTCTAGAAACAGAACGGTCCGAGAAGAATCTCAACCTCTCTCTCTCTATATATAAAGCTACATACTTTTATGATATTATGTTCACTTTCCTTAGGAAATAGACAATAACCATCTTCATTTCTCCATCTTTTCTGGTATTACCAGCTTCCACAAAGCCATGGAGTAAGAATCCAGTGTCCCCCGGCATTTACCACATTTGTTTTCCCATCGTTGCCTTATATGCATGAATCAATCCTGTCATCATCTCAAAACAACAGAATTGGGTTCTACACCTTATGACTGACTGTTGTTATGAAAAAGTAAATCAATCTCCCTCCTTCTCTCCTCCCTCTCTCCCTCTCCCTCCCTCCCTCCCTCTCTCTCTCTCTCTCTCTCTCTCTCAGAAACCACGTATGAGGATTCTACCCAGTACAAAAATGTATGGAATTTAAAATTTTGTCATCATCTTGTTATTAGAACAACAGTAAGAGCTCAGCAGACAATATTGTGTGCATTTTTAAAGTAAGCCTGTAGGATTCAAAGGAACATAACGATAGTTCTGGATGGGTTACAAAAGCCAGTAATTGAGAGCCTGCAGAACAAAAGGCTAATGTGGCCCTCTCTGCCTTAGCTCCACTCATCTATAACCCACATTGCTTCAGAAGTCTGCTCTAAGAGTCTCCATGAAAAAACAAAGAAAGTCTTAGTGTCTTCGAATCCACATGCCAATT